TTATGTTGCGTAATGAGTGAATAATTTTAAAATAATGTATTCTGTGAGGACAAGTTTGTTTAAAATATTATAAAGTAAATAATAGGTGAATGTGTAAATTATAATCCGATGTGTACCGTAAACCGGTGAATAACCGTTCTGGGATACCAAGACTCTTGCCCCGGGGCGGTACCGGTATATAAGTCACCAGTTAATCTGCACCGGTGCACCGGTACATGTTCCCAGAACACGCCCATTGCTTCAGCCTGAATAATCTTTAATTACCGTCACATTGCGTAGTGAAATTCATGTATCATTGTGAAAAAAACACAATCATGCTAAAAACCGGTAATTTAAAGAATAATGGATTTAACACACTATTTTAAGTGAAAACTACTGATGGTTATGTTTTTCTGGTATTTGGGTACTACGATAAATACCAATTTGTTTATTGTAGTCGACAAAATACATTGTATTAAAAACGTCAGATAGCATAATACTCCTCCTTAGGTCCATAGGTATTCATATTAGTACTATGAGCGTACCAATAGGAATAAAAGTATCAAAGAATTCTTTTACACCCTTAGTTTCATTGAAAAAATAATACATTTATATACCACAATTTTGAAGTCTGGATTAACTATTGGTAATTTTTATCGGAGGTGGCACCAAATTCTAAACTGGTATGTTTACCAAGAAACACATATCTATTGGTAGTTTTTGTGCAAGTGAGGACTTGTAGCTATTCTTTTTTTAGTGTACCTTTATTTTATATGGAATTAGAAAAATTCTAATAAACTCTATTCTAATTCAATTGAAATATTTTTTTTAATACAGGTATTTTTTAATAAATTCAGGTATTAAAATAATAACAACAGTTTAGCTAAGAGGATGAGATTAAAAAAAGCCTGAGTCCTGAAAAAAGACATTTGGTCAGTCACAAATAGACAGTCAACCAAGTCTCGTTCAATTCAGAATTACTAAAAATGTATTTTTTATGATTTGTGGAAATGGAATTTGACAGCTGCTCGAAAGGAGTACCAGACACGATATCCTGATCACACCATCACCAATTCTCAGGTGTCTACTCAGGTTCAATAAAGTCGTCTGGAAACCAATTCAGTTGAGAAGAAGAAGAAAGCTGTATGTCCATCACATGATGTTGCAGCCAAAGAACACTTCAATTAACAAATGGTAATAATAATACTACAAATATGGAGCTATGATATAAAAATGGCATAACCCAGCCTGGGGATAATAGTTCACTTTTTATACAACAATCACTTATGTCCATATCATTAAACAAATGAATACAAAACCATGAGGGATCCATACTGTTGGCTATTTCAACGGGTTAAATTACAAAATTATTAGTCTACAATTTATAATTTTTGTAGTGCATTTTGCAAAATTCATTTTCCGAGGAGTGGAGAAGAATGCCTTGATGATTTTTGTCACTTACTATTGGTATGACTACAGTACCCAAACATCAGAACGAAACCCAATTTTGAGTCGTTCGCGCTTAAAATAGTATGTTAAATCAAATCCATTATACGAGGGCTATCCAGAAAGTAGATTAGGTTTTGATTAAGGCACTTGTCGTAGTGACGAACAAGGTTAGAAATTCCTTCATCGTACAATTCGGCCGCCTGCGTCTTCAAACACTTGGTTACCTCTTCTTGAAGCATGTGGCATGATCAAAAAGCTGCATAGCCAGCCACTTCTTCATTGCTGGGAATAAGTGAAAGTTATTCGGTGCCAGGTAGGGACTGTACGGCGGATGAGGAAACGGCTCCCACTTAAACGATTCAAGAACTTCGCGAGTGACATTTGCAGTGTGGGGCCGGGCATTGTCGTGAATCAACAGGATTTTTGAGCTTAACTTTCCCCTGCTTTTTTGTATCCCTCTTTTAAGGGTTTGCAGAGTTTGGCAATACCTTTGAGAGTTTATTGTGGTGCCTCCTTCCAGGAAGTCCAAAAAAATTACACCCTCCCTATCCCAAAAAAACAGATGCCATTACCTTCCTTGCCGACATCATTTGCATGCATTTCTTGGGTTGGGGGGAATTGTGTGACTCCACTGCATTGAGTGCGATTTCATCTTGCAGTTCACATGTTTGTCCCATTTTTCGTCAGTAGTAACGATGTGATCGAGTAAGTGAGTCACCATTTTTATCATAAGCGTCCAGTAACGTTAGTGATGCAGCATTCGTTGATTTTTGTGACACTCTGTCCAGATTTTCGGTACCCATCTAGCTCAAAACTTGTGGTAACCAAGCTATTAGTTAATGATCTTGTGAACTTCGTGGAATTTGTGGAAAACCCATAGAGAGTTCTGTTATTTTGAATTTTCGAGTTTAACAGACTTTTGCATCGACTTTTTCAACAAGTTCAGCAGTCACAATGACAGTGGCTCAGTCGGTAGCGTCGCGGACTTCGGGCCCAAGGCAGCGATATCGTGGGTTCGGATCCTGGTCACTGCCGATAACATTTTATCAGTATAGTTCACCTTTGTACTGTACCGGCTCACTCCTTGCTTTGCTGTAAACGATCCACGCACGGGCGCTTAGTCTATGTGGACGGGCAAATGCAAGGTAAAAAGAGGCCGCCAACCTCTTTTATTAAAAAAAAAAAATGCTGGGTTTTCCACTTCCCTCTTCGTCGTGAACGTTAGTTCGACCATTTTTAAATGTTATGACTCACTGACGCATTCCACCTTTAGTGATGATGTTTTCCCCCATAAACTTCACAAAGTTGCTGATAGATTTCTATCGGTTTACAGTTTATACAGTCAAAACTGCACGCACTTCACAGTTAACAGAATTTTCAATCAACACAGACATTTTAAACTGTCACAGTAACTCAACCGAGTACAACAGAAACCTCTCACTAGCACGACTAAATGCCGACCGACCAACAAACTGACATCATGATGACCACGCTAGCCCCTCCCCTTGCAGACAGAAATGTAATCTACTTTGTAGGTAGCCCTCGTTCTTTATATTACTAGTCTTTAGAATGACCATGTTTTTTTTTTTATGAGGCATGAATTTCACTATGTAATGTTATGGCCATTAAAGGTTATTATACATCATTTTAAAGCTTATTTAAGGAGGAAGTTTTTGATAATGCTTTCATAAATTAATCATCTCACACACACATTACATACACTTAAACACAAACATACACCTTCATCATAACAGATAAATAAGGTTTTTAATATTTATTAAGTTTTTGTCTTCGTTAACAATTTTAACTTTTACGATGACACTTAACTTAAGTAGACTCTTATTCAATACACCAATGTTCAGATGCATTGTAAATTTTGTGAGGTTTTCAGAAATTACCTTTATTTTAAAAATACATGTCTTTCTCACATAGTAATATTCCTTCATAAAAACTACCTTTTTTATCTGAATTTATTTTTTATTCCCTTGCCCTTTGAGTTGGAAACCTCAAAAAGGCATCATTCAATCACCATTATGATGTAGTTTGACAGATATTTTATTTAACACTTATGACCGGACACCCGTTATACAACACTCTTTCAATAGCGATGAACAGTTTACTCCCAATACAGTAGAACCCCTCATATCCGGCCACCACGGGACCAAGTCCCTGACCGGATAACGATTTGGCCGGATAAACCAACCTACTATGAAAATGACAATTCATACCTAATAATAATGGGTAATCAACATATGCAATCAAAAGTATCATTTAATTCTGTTCTGGGATCATTTTTAGAAAAATAAACATGTTTGTAAAAAGAAAAAAAAATATTTGTAGGTTAAAGTCATTAAGTAATAAATGTACAAATATTATGATTCTAGGTAACAAAACCTATTAAATGGAGGTAAAAATGACAATAAACTGTACTTAAAGATCATTAGGACTTAAATGGTACATGCATTTCTACTCAACATTCTTAACCATTTTGTGAAATACAAAAATTAATGTACTCGTACTGTACTGTACTAACCCCACTTTGGAAATAATCAACCAACTGATAAGAGGTTAGGCCTACTAGCTCAACTGAGTATAGTGACTCAGCAAATAAATGTATAAACAAACAGAGTGAGAACAATTTATTTTATGACTTGAGCAGTCACAAAGACTAGTGTTTGCATCTAAACGTCTGTAAGCTGAGAGAAAAAATTTTGATATTGGCTTCCTGGAAGGGGCCGGATAAACAGAGGACCGGTAAAACCAAGGCCGGATATGAGGGGTTCTACTGTAATCTAATCCCCAGTTATATATATATATAAATATTACTGTAGGTCTTTTGTATATAAAAATATTATATATACACTTGGTCGAATAACAGTAATACTATTATTAAGGCATGTTTCTGTTTAAGTAAAGAGAGAGAAAAAAATTATTATAATCATTACAAGTAATATTTATTACCATTCAAGTAGTAGTATTAACAATCCGAAACAACCTAGAAAGATAAAATCACACAGTTAGCCGCCAACTATTGGCAAGCTAGATGGTGAACATAAACAATAGCAGTGGCACTACCACGTGAGCATTATCAATTTGCCTCAGGGCTTACCTCAAGTTAAAACTCAAACAAAAAGTAACTTCATGCTTTTTAAATAAGAAAGATTGAGCTTGTTCGATACTATAAGTGTTTTCGTTTAGCGTAGTTTGAATAACAGCATAGTGGATTTCAAGCTATTCAAGCTATATATTTTACAAATATTTGACATCCTAATGTGATAACATAACACCTAGCCTCAATATCTAAGCAACCTCTCCATGTTATTCTTGATTCAATGTGAGATTCCATGTGAACCCACCCTCAGTGTTATTATTTGGGTTGTGTAAAATGGGCTTTCTTGGCATTTCAAGTGCTTAACATAAAATCTTGTTACAATAGGTAGAAAGGATAAATAGTTGATCAGTACAAGAGAGCGAAATCATGTAATGTAATCTCATTAAATGCTATGGACCCTACCTCTAAACAAACTAATGAGTTTTTGCACATTTAAAAAATGTAATCAACAAGTACTTACCATAGGAACTTCAACCATTCCATTGAGATCAAGCCATAACTCATGTAACTCAGTTAGCTCTCCCACCACCTCTGGCTGAAAAAGAAAGGATGCATCTTTTTAATTTATATTAGCTTTATAAATAGACCTAATGTTTTGTGATTACAGATGACTGACCAAAATAAGATTCATGAAAAACAATGAATCTAAGTTAAATTTTTGCCTTCTCTCTAATACTGGAACATAGTTATATGAAGAAAGTTTGTTTTGTCAATATTTTGAGTTTGATTTTAGGGTAGAAATATGTGTTTTCAAAGTGATGTCTGTGTGTGACTGTGTGTGTGTGGGGGTAGATGTGTAGAGAGCTAAAATGCACACCTGTGGTACAATTTTGATTAAATTCGGCATCATGTTTCAAGGCATTTGTTTTCATTTTATTTTCAATTACGAGTTTTAATGGTGATTTTTCCTACAAAATAAAGGACAAACTGGATTTTCACAAAAATGTTTCAAAAAAAGGCTTTTGATTCAAATGTAATACTTAATGGTCCTTTAAACTCTAACCAAAATGGTATAGCCTCCAATGCTGTTAAAACTACAGCTCAAAAGTTATTGTATTTTTTTTTTTTTCATTTTATTTCCCCTGCTCAAAAAATGTATTTAGTCTAACCGCTTACTTATTATAAGGGTTATTGACAAGCTGATGGGAGAAAGTATGTGTGAGTTTGCCAATGATAAGCCTACCGTTTTGAGTTTATTTTATGACAACTAACTGACTAGTGACAACAGCTGTTTCACATTGTAGTTCAGTCATTATAGGGAAAAATACCCCTTCTACCTGGAAATTATACCCTAAACGGTGAAACTTTGGACAGTGTAATACTAGTACCCAGTAAAAACATATCACAAATCAACATTCATGCATGCTGTGCTACGGCCGCCAACTTGGAAAATGGAAAGTGGAATATTTCACTAACCGTTGGAACACAGAAATCTTGTTCAATGAAAAGTTAAAGAACACACAAAAATACATATTTTACTCATTTACATATTTGTCCTATCTCTTAACAATTATTGAGAACAATTGAAATTATATTTTAAAAACATTAATTTTCTTTAATTTCTGTCAGTTTAATTTTTTTCAAAAAAATATTCCACTACAATTAAAATCCCCCCTGCCACAAGGAAAATTCCTTAACAGCAAGGTTTATATATGCAATTTCCATTTTCTTGATTTGATTTTCAATTAAATCTATTTAAATTACATTAGGTTTAATGAGTACCTATGTTTGCTGCTACAGGGAGGTAAAGGTAAATAAAGTGTGGTTTTAGTAGAATATTAATTTTTTTTTGTTTTTTTGTCCTAGGACGCTAGGCACGAGCCTGGGATTGTTTTTCACATTACTTCAGGTTTTTCACATTACCACTTAGATAAAATCCATCCAGTAGAATATTAATAGCTTGCTATAAAATAAATAAATTTACCAAGCTTGATCAAAATATATCCATAAACAAGCAAACTGCGATAGTTTACAACTAGGGGTCCCAATCCCGGTCCTTCAATCCAATCCTGGGATTTCGGGATTTGTCTCAGCTGATCCCCGGGATTATATTATTTTATGATTATAACTTTTTAGGCATTTTAAATGAGCATGGAGTACCCTTGTTGAGTTCTCTAATGTTTTAAACTGGCCTTACCAGTGTTAAACTGAGCAATTTTGCCGTTTTCTAAGTAAAAAAATATAACCACAAGGAACTTTCACTACCCGTCTTTCTTATTTACAGTTTATAAATGTTGATATGTTAGTCTAGAATTAAATAAACACATCAAAAAATAAACGGTATCAGCATTCTGACACATACTTTCTCCCATAAGATTGTCAACAACCTTTCTCATGAGTAAGCGGTGAGAGTAAATATACGGAAAGGGGATTTGTACAATTTTCTTCAGAATTTAAAGGACTATAACATACTAAATTTTTATCAAAATCGTTCTAGCCAATTTTGGGAAAATCCGATTTTCCGTTATTTTATGGGGATTTTTATGGGAAAATAACATAATTTACCATAACTTTTGAACCGTAATTTTTACAGAAATGGGATTTGTATAATTTTATTTAGAATATAAAGGACTATAACATAGGTACTCAATTTTTATCAAAATCTTTCGGGACATTTTTTAAAAAATCCTATTTTTCCAGTTTTTTATGGGGTTTTATGGGAAAATCCCCATTAAAAATAAAATTTTCTAAAAAATGAAAAAAACTATCAAAATTGTAAGGATCATAACATACTCTGTTGAATCAAAACCGGATTTTTGTCTAAAATCCTATTTTTTGTTATTTTATGGGGGTTTTATGGAAAAATAACATAATTTACCATAACTTTTGAACCGTAATTTTTACAGAAATGGGATTTGTACCATTTTGTTCAGAATTTAAAGGGCTACAACATACTAAATTTTTATCAAAATCGTTCGGGCCATTTTTGAGAAAATCCGATTTTTCCAGTTTTTTATGGGTTTTTATGGGAAAATCCCCATAAAAAATCAAAATTTCAAAAAAATGAAAAAAACGCCTGGAGATACCATGGATTAGAACCTACATACCAAATTTCATTGAAATCGGACCACAGGTGTAGTCCCTAGCTCTGTACACATCCAGACACACAGACACACAGACACACACACAGACACACGCACACACACACAGACACACACACAGACATCACTTCAAAAACCACTTTTTTGGGTCCAGGGGGACCCAAAACGAATATATCCACTCAAAACTCAAACTCGAAAATTTTGACGAAAACAATACTTTCTCCATATACTATGGTATAGGGGGAGAAAGTAATTAAGAGCAACCGCACTTGCATGTAATACATGTCACGCTAATATGGAAACTAAATAAATCAAAATATAAAGATAAAAAGATAATATGGGAAGAATCATGAGTCGCTGCGTAAAAATGTTATGTTGACTGATGACAATCAAACAATTTACTACTGTACAAACACTAAACCAACAAGTGTTTGTGAAAACAATAATCCATCTGCTTGTGTAGTAAAGTAAGGTGTGTTCAAAAAACGTAATTTAGGATAGTAATAGTGTATTTTACTACTAGTCTTGAAAGTGTTTCCCATGCTCGTCTTCAACTCGCATGTAAACAACGATCACATTAGACCAATAGATGGAGCATGCCTATCTAACTAACATTAAAGCAGGTGAAGCCAGGTCTGCCATCTTATTGTAGGTTAGAGGCGCTAGATGTCGATGAAAATGGCACCAAAACTCAATGTTCCGCTTCAAAATAACTCGACATTTAGCCTACTTAGACTAAAGGTAAATTGTTGAAACATCGTATGAATGATATTAATAAGTCTAGGACACTATTGGTTTTAGTTAAAAGCTTAAAAGTTAATATTTTCTATTTTTAATCTTCAAATAAAGTCGGTACTTTTAAACGAGTTTTAAAATATGACTTGAAAAAGCTCGTCGGCTGCTACTTTTTTATTTTTTGGTCAGGCAAGTTAAAAAACAGTGGATTTTGTAGCTAAAGAGTTGAATTTTTTTTATCATATTTTTTAAGATTTTTAACTGGTGTAGTTTGGTTGTAATTTAAATTGTAATATAGGGGCTACCAGCCGCGCCGCGTTGCGTCATGCGGGCAGATTCTGCCTACAACCTCACTTGTAATACAGTTTAGATACTCAAGTTTGGAGCTATACAGAAATGTTACTAAAATAATTAGAAAAACACAGAGTACATATCTCTTCGTTTTACTTTTGTAATCATCTAAAAATTCATATTTTTTAGCTCTTTCACAAAAATTAATATGCCAGTCGGATCATAAAGGAGAGTTGTATAAAGAGTTTCAGAAACCATCTTGTGACTTTGAAAATTCGTACATTGTAAACCAAATGCCAGAACTTTATCAAACTTTAATACGATATAGATACATATATTAAAAATTAATTTGTAGCTTTTCAGAATTTTTCTTTTGCCCAAAAAGTTTTTGTTGTTTATTATGTAAACTAACTTTTTCTAAGAAATGGTTAACGCTAGAAAACAAATTAAAAGCGTATTTTGAAGGTAATTGTGTTAGTAATAAAAAAAATTATAATATAAAGGCGTATTGCCACGGATATCTTTTATATAAACTAACATTTAATTTGTTGCGCCCGCTATTAAGGCTCATCACAGCCGGCAGCCGGCGTCTTAGTGAGGATTGGTGAAAAATACTGGCTTCACGTCGTGGCCAACATGCTCCATCTATTCACATAATATGTGATCGTTGCATGTAAAACACTATCTCGCCCTGAAATGGGACTTTCGTGATGAGTATTGAACGATACTTTTTATCACAATGAAAAAAACTACTTCATCAAACTTATAAAATCATCTGATATTTCATAATCTATTCATTTTTCTAATCTAAACACAATACAGATGTGCAATTAGTTTTAGTGTAAAATTCAGCTGATTGTAACTTTGTTGATATCAGGCAAAGTATTTTTTGTGTAGCGAAATTAATGTTTATGTAGCAAAAGTAATGTTTGTCAGGAAAAGTCAACTGATCACTATTTGTTTTTGGTGTATGGAAATTGAAGATTTTCGAAGATCTCAGCTGAAATAAATTGGCTATTTTCGAATACAGAGTGATGAAAAAGATTTAATCACCACACTAAAAACGAAATACAGTAGAACGTCGATTATCCGAAGCCCGGTCATCCGAAACGTCGGTTAACCGAAAGGAAGAAAGAAGCAAAAATCAATAAAATCGCGCGCCAATCACGACTGGCCGTAGCGCTACGCCACCGCACGGCTGCTAAGGCGGGAGGCGGGGCGGGCATACGTGACGAAATTGTCGTGCGCTATGGCCGTGTGCACCACTCCTACTCCCACTGACTCAGTCTCCGTCTCTCTCAAGTCTCAGTCGCCTGTGAGCATTCGACAGTGACAGTTCGTATGGGTTTCTATTGTACTGTTTCATTCTACACTGACTATGTCGTCCAAACGTAAACGTGAATGTGTTCTTTCTGTACACATTCTGATAGTCCAGTTCTAAGTACTGTTGTACATGTTTGTTGCTGTATTGTAAAAATAAATCTGGATGTTAATTAATAAAATTTATATTATTGTACAGTAGGCTATCCACAGACGCGAAAACGGCAAATCACCGCCGGCCGCTATCCCTTCCCGTCATTTCCCGTTCCCCGTATTTTTCCAGTCAATGACCGATTATCCGAAAAATCAGTTATCCGAACACCCCCAATCCCCAATTAATTCGGATAATCGACGTTCTACTGTACAAAGATAAAAGTTATAGACAATAAATTAGCAATCTTAATAATAAAATAATAATGGTGTGTTTATAGTTCATTTTTAGGCCTTTAATATTATTAAGAAAATGATACTTTAATTACCGATTACCATGTTATATTTGCCACATCAATTGTTTTGTTTGCGATGTCAAAAGTAAAACTCAAAATAACCTATTGGCATACAGTAATTAACTTCTAACTAATGTAATAACGTTTACAGAAAGTAAATCCAATTCGTCTAAGAACACTTAAAAACATTATCGTCCTAAAAATAAACAGTATAATATATGTGTTTCATGCGTTATTGGACATATTTTTTATTTATTTTCCGTGAGTAAAACTCCTCAAATTCACAAAAAAATAAATAAAAACATAGGTTTTGCAATCCCGTTAATCCTGGGACTAAAAGACGTCAATCTCGGGATTTGTGGTTATCAAAAATCGACCGTGATTCCGGGATTGAGACCCCTATCTACAACATTCTCCATAAGAATAACATAGGGATTTTAAATTTACATTTTTTTTATTTTCCCCTTAACCAATAAGTGTACAAACAACTTAAACACACTAAATTATTTGTTTTTTAAGCTCTTCAAAATAGTCTAGAGAGATTTTGTTTTTTTTTTTTGTTTTTTTTTTTAGGGAAATTTTGTGTTTTGAGGGTCAAAAATGAGAAAACCCAATTTTTACTCCATAAAACCCCTTTGACATGGTCAGAACTTGCTGGTTCGCAAACTCATTCAAGTTTATCCCGCCGTACACCTTTAAGCCAAATTTCATCAAAATCGGACATACATTCCTCGAGTTATTGTGTTGACGGGCACTCCATGGTCAGTATTTTCACTAGTTCAATGACTAACTCCTGATAACCAAGATCTGTTTAGGTCTATTTTGATCTGCCTTATGGTTTAGTTCTCTAATTATTGAATTAGAAGAGTAAGATTGTATTCAATTCCATAACTGTTTAATACAAGGTAAAACAACCTTATGTTTAAAAGCAAAGAATTGTTACTTACCAGATAGGTGAAATCATTCTGGCCTATATCAAGCCTAAGCAATCTAGTAAACCTAGCAATAGCGCGAGGTAGGGTGGACAGTCTGTTATCTCGTAGTTCAAGTATTCGTAGCTTCACCAGTCTCCCGACGTTGGCAGGAAGATAGTCTAGCGTTGTGTCATTAAGATATAACTCCTCCAATGAAATCAGCTGAGTAACAGGTTCAGGAAACTGTCTCAGCGGATTCATGCTAAGATTTAGAGAACTTAACTTCTTACATCCTTTTATGGCTTCATTGACTTGCTCTATACCTGAAAATAAGACCAAACAAAAACCGTTGATATCAGGACATTTTTTAATTGAAGGTTCCTAACTAAACTTTTAATTACAAATCACACATACAAAGATGGAGTGTTAAATATTTTGCATTAACAATAAATATTGAGATAAAAATTCCAAATAATTTGTGTGATAAATAATAGTACGGTATTTTATACCATTTTTTCACTTGAACATAACATCTTTCGCATGAGAAATCACATGAATTCCCATGATAGTTCTCATAAAAAACAGGTTAAATATACTCATTAAATAATTTTGTCCCTCAATAATCTGATATTTTGTAATTCTTTTACTCAGTAGTCCGATACACCGCCAGCAGTCTTATCAGCCTCCAAGGATAAATTCAAATAATCTTTATTTGTAAGTACGGTAGCATATAATACATACATAAATAGTGTCAAAATACAGGTATGAAAAATTATAATCAAAGGTTTCTTAGAATTATCAATGCAAAAATTAACATTACTTCCTACAACTCGTCGAAAGAAGCGTTGGTGATACATTCATATTAGTTTATTTATTTAAGAGGGAGGTTTAGAAATTCATTCAGTGAGTAAATTACTCCATTAATTAAATAAGCTTTCAGTTGTTTTTTAAACTTAATTGAATTTTTTTTCATTTTTAATATTTTCTGGGATTAATTTTAAAAACTGTTCACCAACATATGTTGTTTTTTTTCATAGAGCTTCAGTCTGTGATGATTTTGCCTTGTAGAGTTATTTTTTCTAGTGTTATAATGATGTGTAGGTTCGTGCGGTACATCATTAGGAATTTTGTTCTTTGCACACAAAACGACGTCAAGAACATATTGGCCATAAACCGTTATTATTTTTAACTGTTAGTATATTTTTAACTGTATGAAATGATCTCTGGTGGAATCATCTTGATTCAATTTCAGCATTAAGTCAAGAATCAAGACCTCAAGAAGTCAAGAATTACTTTTATAGACCTCTTTTGGAGTCTTAACATACCATCCAAATTTGCTTTTTTTGTTGCTCCAAATAAACAAATAACAAAAGAAATATGAGGATGTATTTAAGCAAAATAAATATTTTTCTATGTTGTTAAATTACAATAAAAAGACATTTTTGAAAGCGCATGAATTCCAGACTTCATTTTTGTCAAGATCTTGTTTACGTGTTCATTCCAGTTAAGGTGTTTATCAATAGTCAGGCCAAGAAAATTTGTACTTGACTTTGGATCAATTATGTGGGAATCAAACACAATCATTGGTTCTATTTGACTTCTACTTTGTGTAGTTTTAAATGTAAAAAAAAAATTGATTTTTCCTTAATTTATATTTAAATTTTGATACGTTAAGTAATGCCCAAGGTTTCCAAGTTCTATGAAGGCAGCCATTTTCGTTTGTTCTATTTTAGGTGTTGAAATTAGTAAATTAGAATCATCAGCATACAGGGATAGTTCACTGATAGGCTTACATGAAAGTGCTTTGTCCATGACCTTAACATAAACAAGTCAGGATTTGGTTTGGAGAAGTGGACAAGATGACAGACAGCTAATAGACTCTTAAAAGTGCTCTGTTAATAAGTTAAATTGAACTAGTATTTACCTTAAATTTTTTGCTTAAGTTGTGATATAAACATAGCAGTAGCGTACCTCTATCAATTGATGATACAAGTTCTATTGAAGAAGAATGTTTTTAAAAGGTCAACCCGGTTTTAACTACTAGACACTAAGAGAAGGATTCACCGAAAATGGCGAAAATGTTGCTCAAGAACGGACTATATTTAAACAACAGTTTCTTCTCTTTCGAAAAACTACCAAAGCTGGTAGTAAAAGTGATGAAATTAAAGTTGCCCAGTTGTTGAATGTGATTGGGAGGGAGGCATTGGCCATTTTTCAAACTTTTAAGTTGGGGGACATTGATGAATATTCAATGTATTATGACTCATGTTATGTGTATTTATAGTTCTTTTTTTTTAAAGTAGGCCTACTACTGATGATTGTCTTGTTAGTATAATTTTTTAAATCCCTAAAATCTTTTTGTGATTATTATTACTACACAAATAATGTTGACACAATTTATTAACATTGGCGTGAATAATAACTTAGCATTTTAATTTTGAACTCCGTTATAACAGTTTTTGCCACGTCTGCAGCATGTGAATTGTATTGTTGTAGTATCAAAAAAATAATGTAAATATTTTTTTTTTAGTAAATAATAAAGTTGAATAATAAATAATAGGCTAAGTAAATACCTTAATATTTTTATAAATAACTATCTGAATTTCTCCCTTCTTATAAATACCAAACTAGTGAGAAAAAAACTTGTTTACAATGAACCTAATCAAAAAATAATCCCCCGGTAGAGGGCCCCTTCACAGCATATAGCTGAGGGCCCCAAATAGTCCCAGTCCGGGCCTAATACCACAACAATCATACGTTTTGGAAACTTTTAGAAATCTTATTAGGCCTACCATAGCAGGCTTCCACATCAATTTAACTTTAACAGACATTTTCACACAAGACTTGTACTTTAACACACAACGGCAAACATCCACTGTTTAAAGACGACTTACCAGCAACTGTGATTCGAAAGCACTGTTGGCAACAAAAATAAATAAGCTAATTAATCAGACTTGTGTGACCAAGCCTTTAAGTTAATAGGACGACACAATCATTGGGAAAGTGTTTCATTTATTTCTTTAAACAGTTCAGATAGTGTCATTTAAATAAAAGCGTAGGCTACTCTCAATAAGTCCAATCTATTAAACTATGGTACGGGTACGGTACCTAGTACTATGCTTTAAGTAATAAGTAATAGGTAATGGTAGGCCTAACTTATTAGGTGACACTTAAGTAATAGTATCCTATTATATATCCCGGATACGTTAAATACCCACCACAACCACTATGCTATGTAAAGGTAAATTGCCAAGATATATTTATTCCTTAATTGCTTAATATAACCACAGACAAAAAGAATTAAATATAGACCGTCAGCTGTGCTGCAGTTACCATAGGTTCTGATGCACTGGGAACGCCATGTAATTACGGCATAAGTTACAGGCTATGTAACTAAACGGGCGCTTCAAGAGGTCTGCACCAGAGCCTATGGTAACCATGGTAACCGTAGCACGGCTAACAGTCTATATTTAATTCTTTTTGTCTATATAACTTAAGTTGGGAATTTCTTTTACCTTAGTTGGGCCTTAAGTGTGTGACCTGTGGCCTAGGAAAGGTCATAAGTATTGTTATAAGTTGTGTTATATTGTAATGGCTCATTACTCTATGTTGTTCCTTTTGTACTTTATAAGCAACGACTTGCAGTTTATTCTTTTTTTTTTACTAATGGATTTTGGAGCGAAACCGCTAACTCCCTCTCTCTGATTTTGGGCTTCATAAAGAGAACATGTAATCTGTGAATTAAATATTGTGTTATGTTAATAAACGTTATGTTGAACCAGTAGAATCTGAGTATTTATTATTAAAGCCCCACTTGCAACTAAATAATTAATTAAATGAATCCAAATTAGAATATGGCGCAGTCTTTGAGTTATTGCAAGTGGGTGAAAATTTTAAGCAAAAGTAACCTAGGCCTAGTAAGTAATCGAGCCTATTTGGTAAGTACGGTACAGCGACAGCATGGCGAGCATAGGATTTTTAAAACCACCAGAACCATTAAATATCACCGAAAATGTTGCTCAAGAATGGACTATATTTAAACAACAATTTCTTCTCTTTCTAAAAGCTACCGAGGCTGGTAGTAAAAGTGATGAAATTAAAGTTGCCCAGTTGTTGAATGTGATTAGGAGGGAGGCATTGGCCATTTTCCAAACTTTTAAGTTGGGGGACATTGATAAACTTAAATTGGACGATGTCCTTAAAGCATTTGATAGGTATTTTAACCCTCGCAAGAACATTGTTTATCAAAGGTTTTTATTTTTCCAAAGAGTTCAGAAAGAGTCCGAGCCCTTCATACATTTTCTGACAGACTTGAGAAAACTTACGTCCTTTTGTGACTTTGGGGAGCAGGAGGATAGTTTAATAAGGGACAGACTAGTTTTGTGCATTAAGGATGAAACTTGCAAGAACGTTTGCTCAGGGTTCCGGACCTTTAACTCGATGAGGCAATTAAACATTGCCAACTATCTGAAGCAAGTAGGGAGCAGTTTTCAGCTTTGTGTGGAAATCGTAGGCCTAATCTATTTCAGTCCAATGGGGATATACTAGCAGTACCGGTAGTAAAGCCTGAACAAGAATCAAATATTACGCTTGGTTCAAATGGACCGAGTCAAGTCAAGGAAGAGGTGCATGCAGTTGAGGGTGGTCGCGGAAGACATCAACAGTACCATAGGCCTAAGCCTAGTACGAAGGTAGGCTACAAAGGTAATGCTAAAGGTAATGAATATAAACTTAATGTGTATCTGTGTAAATGTTAGATTTAATTGACCAGCTTATAAAAGGCAATGCCTTAATTGTGGGGAACTGAATCATTTTGTAGTGGGATGTACAGAGCCTAAAGCTAAAAATAAACCTGTAGGAATGCAAAAGCCTGTTAATGAAGTGTATGGAGTTGATGCAGACCCACATAACTTTCGAATTGATGCTCTCGATTCTCTTAAACCTAATTTCAACCCTCCAAGTATTAATTGGTATTAATTGGTATTGTATTGGTATTAATTTCGGACCATTTATTGCACAATTGCAGGGTTTTATTAAAATGTATCTTAGAAACTTAAAAACACTCTAAAGTATACTGTTTTATATATCATTTTGTTTGGAAAATTATGGGCTTCAATGTAATAAATAAAACATTATAAAAAAAATGTCCAACAATTTTTGTGGGGTTAACATTTTTCAAAAATTATATAAATGAAAAAATGGTATGTTTGCGCTAAATAAAAATTTTATTATTTTAACTTAGGTCTACAAATATTTTAAAATAGCCATTTGTTCTAAATTTTATGAGGATTCCAAAAATATAATAATATAAGAAAGTAGGTTT